TTACTACACTGAGCTTAAATTTTACTATACTTTCTCACTTTTCTATCTATTCCCCTCCTCTCTCTCTCTCTCTCCCCTTCCCTCTCTTTCTCTCTCTCTCTTTCCATTTCTCTTTTTCATAATGATAGCATCAGTAAAAATCAACTGTAATTAAATTTTAACTTCTTAACTTCAACTTTCATAACGAGCGCTTAGGCTTAATTTGTAATTGTGAATTTCCATTGTTAGTTAAATTGTAACTATAAAATCCGATTTTAAATATAGCTATAAATTTCGATTTTAAATATAACTATAAAATCCGATTTTGAGTATAACTATAAAATTCAATTTTGAGTATAACTATAAATTTCGATTTTGAGTATAAATATAAAATTCGATTTTGATATAACTATAAATTTCGATTTTGAGTATAATTATAAAATTCGATTTTGAGTATAACTATAAAATTTGATTTTGAGTATAGCTATAAAATTCGATTTTGAGTATAACCATAAAATCCCACTCTGTATATTCACTTTTAGTATATATAATTATGAAATTTCGTTGTCAGTTAGCATGCTATGCTTTAAAAAATTCATTTGAATTCTTTACTGAAATGATTATCAATAAAATATAAATTAAATATGGTCGCATTTTAAGGAGAAATTTAAAAATACTAATACAATAATCTTTTCCTAATAAAACCTGTTGTCATACATCTATAGCTACTACTAAATGACCTTTAATCGGGATATTCTAATAACTTTCAGCATGAGAATATGAATACAAGTAAAATATTTTGAATTAGGATAATTCTAGTAGCTATCCGGTTAACTGTACAATGCATTCCCGAATAATACTTCAGATTCCGGTAATAGTTTAAATTCAAATTTAACACTTCTCTTCTTAGATCAAGGTATAATTTAATGATCATGTAAGCTAAGTAATCTAGACTAACATAAATATCAGTAAGATTATTCGATAGCTACAATCATCAATCAATCATTATCATTTTTAACTGATATAATGCAAAATACTATGACACATAATGACAAATCCTACCAAGATACGATAGAATAATCTTTCTCTTTCCCTTCTCTCTTTCTCTCCCTTTCTCTCCCTTTCTCCCCTTTTCTTGCCACTGAATAATCAATTAAATAGCCAGATTGATATATTGATAAGGGTATAATTTTGGCCAATAATATCTGATTAGCAATGATATCCTATCAGAATTAATCAAAGATGAATGATTAATGCAAATTTGCTTATCAATTTTTCAACAAATATCATAATAATGCTAATTTATGTTTCCATTTCAATTCATTTCTTCATTATATCCATTGAATTTTATTTAATTAGATTTGCTTAAGAATTAATTAAACATTGCAATGTGTCACATTCATAAGATGTGACATTTTTCCTGATAATATATTGGCAAAAAAAAAAAAAGGAAAAGAAAAAAGATTGAATCGTTTAAGCATGCATTTAAAACAGGCACTTAAATTTGGTGACGTTATTTAAGATTGCTTAAATTTTTATGGATGAGCAAAAAAAAAGAAAAAAAAAGAAACGAAAGATCTGAGAAGAAAAGAAAAAGAAAGAAGAATTGGAAGTAAAATGATGGAAGAAAAAAAAAGTTATAAAAATTAAAATGAATGAAATAAATCTTAATTATCAACCTTTACAGGTATTTTTACAGGTGAGAAGAAGGGGGAAAAAAAAGAAAAGAGAAGAAATACATATAAAATATTGAAATGAATCAATTCTTCGATTGTTTTTAACTGTGGAATGATGATTTGGACGAAAAATGAATAGAATGACAAATGTATTCGTATTGAAATGCATTAATTCCCAATGGTATTATTTTAAATTTGTTAAAAAAAAAGTAAAGAAAGTGAAAAAAAGTTTTTAGACAAAAAATTCTTTTTTCTTTTAAAGAATATTTTAGTTTTTTTTATTTTGTTTTTCATTCATACCTTTCTCATTTATTCATCATTGTTTAGGTAAAATATCTACCTTATAATAATATTTGTTTGATATCTGTCTGATACAGTATTTATTTGGAAAGTAATTGAATAAACAATTATAGTATTTATTGATTGGAATTTATGAGATTATAAGTTAGAAAGTTA